TAAAAACATTGTTTTTAAGTCAATTGATTGAAATATAAAATTAAAATAATTGCCATAGTTTATGAAAAATTTTCTTCATTGTTTAAAAAAAAAAAAAAAAAACAATTCCAATAATAAAAGTTTTAATTGGATTTTTAACGCATTCTACATTCAATGTGTATGTACATTAAATTTTATTAGATTTAGTATGTGTGTGTGTGTACATAATATACATTTAAATATTAAAATTTAAGTACGCGAGTATGTTATACTTAAAAATTTTCAATGAGGAAATTGTATAATAAAAACTTTTTTATAAGAAAACAATTAAGATGAATCAATTAAAATACTAATTTAGATTTAAAATGTGTTTAGAGTAAGGGTATATTTTGGAGATAAGATTTAGTAATTAATTTTTGTTTGATTATCAAATATGGTCATTATGGTCAAAGAACTTTTATCGTATATTTTATTTTACGCATATAAGAATCGTTAACTTACATTGTTAAGAACTGGTTTCAAATAACATCAAAAAAGTATTCATACAGTAATATTATTGTTCACGTTATTGCAGAAAAAAGTTAGTAAAAAATTTTTATTGAGATTTTCTTGAGTTGCCATTGGCTACCATTACAAAATACAAACGATTTTTTGTGCTACAAACGAATTTGGATGTCTCTTAAGGTTTTATATTTGCCCATTCTTTTAAAAGAACTTCTTTAAGCGATACTGCTTTCAAGAGCTTATTTCCAAAAATTTTTTATTGGGTTTAGGCAAAGACATTAATATTATTATATTTTTATAATGTCTTTGTTTTAGGTCAATTTACTTCGTAGATGCGCGTTACTGCTTTGACACATTTGCTAAAAATTATGACGAATTTTGCACAATGTTTAGGGTCGTTTACTTGTCGAAACATGACGAAGACGTCTGTGAAGAGACATCAAGGTTATAGTTTATTGTATCTACATATTTTCAACATGTACCTATAAAATTATCAATGTAAATTTAAAGTTACATATATAGAATAACACTATAAAATCTCTCAGAGAATTATATTAGAAATTATATAAAATTTTTTTTTGATAATTGAAAATTTATTGTTCCTTTACTCAAAAATTCCTACCCCGTTTTTCCCATATTCAATGAATACTTATAATTTATATTGTTTTTTTTTTTATCTAATTTTCTGTAATACATTTTAAAAAATTTAATATTAATTTTATTACTTTTTGTTCAATTATATCGTATATATACCAAAACAATAAAAATACACAAACTTTTAAAGGAAAAAAAAATTTAATGGATGGATTGTGAAAATTATTATTATAATGGTGGTGTTATATTGGTATTTTGTGGTGCAGTTTTCATACTCAAATATTTTATTATTACTATTATGAATGTTTGAATGTATATGTTTGTATGTGAACTCCTAAAATAATAGATGGATTTATTATACTCCTATGGTACGCATATATATACAGAACAAAACTATTAAAAAAATTTTAAAACCACCATACCTATACTAGACATTTAAAAACGCTTTTAAAATTATAGCAGAAGAAAAAAAAAACACAATTAAATTAAAAGTAAGTAGAACAAGAAGACAAGCTAAAAAAAATAATTTTTATGAATCAGTGTCAATGTTCTTTACGATAATAAAATTAAAGAAATAACAATTTTCCTTGTGATTGTACACTGAAAGAAAAAAAAAAAACATAAATAAAATATAATAAAAATTATTGCAGATATTTTCAGTGTATTTTTTCTTAAGTATTATAAAATAAAAAAATTAGAATTTACGAAAATAATTGTACGAAAATTTTATATTTATTTCAAAGTCATTCTCTCCACCCTCTCTCTCTGTCTTTCCCTCACTCTCTTTCTTAATAGTAACTGTATTTTATTATTAACAACTCTGAAAAAAAATTATTGAAGAATTGAGATTTTTTGATGCATATTTCCGGTCATTTTAAATTCAATTATTTTTTGACCGCATTCAAAAAAACACAAAAAAAAAGACAGAAATAAGTTCAGAAACATAAAATATTAAAAGTATATTCTAAATCTTTATTTGTTATAAAAAAAAACTGTTATAACTATTTTATAATAAAATTAAAAAAAAAAATTATATTCTCTCTATTATCAACTAATTAAAGTTAAATAAAAATTTTAATATTATTTTTTGTTCAGATAGTCTATATCAGTTTATTTGGTATATAATGGTTTTCTAACACTGATTTTTTCTCTTAAAGAATAAGGTTTTATACTAGTGGTGGGACTTAGAACTTAATAGAAATAGAAAGAGAGAGAGAGAGAGAGCAATTTAATAATGTCATATGGAAGGAACAAAATTATTGTCAAAAAAATATGAAATCAAAATGCAATCACTCAAAACATACTGACATTTCCAAATAATTATTATGACATTTGAATTAAAAAATTTATATGAAACTCATACGATTATAGTAAGTGTTGCCAAATTTGATAATTTTAAAAAAATTCTGTAGAAGAACACATTTTAAAAATAATTGTTCTAGCTGCTTCAAAAATTTCTGTATAAAAGTGCAAAATATATGGAATCTTTTTTGAAAAGAACACAAAACCCAACTCTATTGAGACTTTTTTCCGTTCTTAAAGACAACAGTTTCAACACAGTTTTATACAATATAAAATACAGTAATAAATAATAATGGTGGGGGAAATCTTTGAGAATAAAATTTTAGTTTTATAATTTTTATAACATTTTTTTTTTATATTTATGTATATTACATGGAAAAACTGCCAATAAACTTGCTTGAATACAAAAAGAATTCATATTAATAAATAGTAATTAAATTTTAGTTTTAAAGGAAATTATGTATTGTAACGTTTCGTGTATATACTGGGCTACATATACAATACACATACTCGTATAGATTAAAATAACATAAAACACTTTAAAATCTTATTCAAAAAAATAATTTTACCACGAAATATAATAAAGTTTATTATACATTTTATTGTTTAGTGTAGATTAAGCAATTGACTTAAACTTCAGAATATAATTTAGTGAATTTTAAATGCTAGTAACACTCTGTCGAATAATATTATGCATTATATATGTTAAATTTCATAGAATTTAATTGTATAGAAAAGATTAGGGCAATTTTGAATGTAAAAAATATATATATTTGGTTTAATAACGGTGTTAATTCAGATTTAAGTAATTGTAATCTAAAAAAATGGTAAAATTTATTAGACAAATAAAAAAAAGAAACTTACATGATTTTAAAAGCAATTAATTTTTAACATTTACAGCTTTATTATTTTATGAATAAAGCTAAAAATGCATGTAATTTGGTAATTTCAAAATAGTTTTCTGTAATTATGCAGGCAATGACTACTAGTTCAACCAATTATCATGCGGATATCCTGAATTTTTTTGCTAAAATTTGATTCTCATTTTGTTCAGAAATTCGTATTACATAAAATTTTACCATAGTGCTAAATAAACATTAAATATCGTAATTCACATTTAATATCGTAAGTGTTTGCTGGTCATATTCTTAACTTCTTCAAAGCTTTACAAAGGAATTTATATGGTATAAGGGTAAAGATTATACAGAAAAATTTGTTTATATCTATTTAAAAGCTGATTGTGTCCATACATTTGAGTGATTTTAAATATAAAGAAAGCATCATTGTGGAGGGATTGTAACGTATAATGATAATCCAAGATAATTAAAATTTTATTTTATGAAAATTTCATAATATATAAAAGTCTTTGTGACTTAAATCACTGAACGTATAAAAAGAATAATCAAAATTTTATTTTCGAATCGAGAATTTCAATCACAAATCCCGTTAATAAATTCCGGAATATCAATTAATAAATTATTTACTTTATGAAAGAAATTAATTATAGTGCCAACGCACTATAAGTAAAACAGGAAAAATATTTTGTTAAAAAAAAATTTTAATCCAATTTTCTTAAAATAATTTTTTTTATATTTGGAATTTAAATAATAAAACAAAGAGGTACGATTATAAGTACCTATACATTTTATATTATATCGTAATTCAAATTACAAAGTAAAATCATTAAAATATACTAATTAAAATTAAAACAAAGAATTATATTGTTGAACGTATTATTGTTCATAAAGTGTTATAATTTCCTCAAGACACAACAAATTAAAAAGTTCAATTGAAATAATATAGGCACATACATTTAAAATTATTGGAAAAACAAAGATCCCTTTTATTTCAACCACTGTTAAACACATATGTATACACATAATTCCATATATACTTACACGCACAAATATTATAATTTTATCTATACAATACAATATCGTAATTAATTCAAAGTAACCCGCTTAAATCTTTGATCTATTATTCGGTTACATCAACCCCTCCTTTGTATTGAAACTTTTTAATATTTTATTTTATTTATTTTCCCTCAATTTTTCAACAGTAAAATTTTACAAAAAAAAAATATATATTAAGCGGCAATTTTACCTTGATGTTAATTATTTCTATAATAATAATAATAATAATAACAATAAAAATAATAATAACAACAATGACATACTATAAAAACAACAACAATTCAGTAACAATAACAGAAATTGAATACTTTCATGCAACAAAATAAAATATTAATCAACTTCCTCTTATGATCTCTCTTAACCTTTCTCTCTTACTCACTCTCTCTTTTTGAAAAAAAAAAATGTCCCTATATTCTACAATATCATTTGTCATAACTAAATTTCCTTTATTATTTTGTCTTGTTTTTTTTTTATAAATTAGCAAAATAATTCATAAATGCTGTAAAGAAATAAAAATAAAATTTTTTTTTTTAAAAAAAAAAAATAAAATTTAGTAAAATGAAAAACAAACAAAAAAAAATATTTCCCAATAAAGAAATTCGATCTTAATTAATTTAGTGAGTTTTAAAAGTGAAAAAATAAAAAAAAAACAAAAAAAACAATTTTTGCCTTCCTCAAAAGTCCATGGTGATTACTTTGTCATACATCATTGTACGGTCGTTAACACGTAAACGCAACACCTACCTTAAGCTAAAAATCGTTAACCTCTTCCATTATAAAACAACAGTAAAAACATACGACATATACACAATAATAGTGATAAACTAAAAAAAAAAAACAAAAAAAATTATAATGAAAAATTAAATTCAACATGCAAAATACAACAAAAAAAAATTCAACAAAAAAATTTACCACATGTTCTTGTTTTCAATATTTTAATAGCTAAATAATAAATATTATTGAGTAATATTAAATAAGGGCATAAGTCACATTGCCATAGAATTCAAAGACTAAGACACTACAAGCGTAATTTGGACAACACATCATTAGGATTGCGTTCAGAAAACAACGGAAAACTAGTTAGATGTAAATTTATAATTTTTAATTTTTGTTCTCATATTAAGAAATTGCGTTAAAATTGTTACAGTATAACAGAATAACATTACAGTATAACAGAATTTTTATACAGAAGCTGTAGTAGTTTTAGTTCATTGCGTTCAGACTACAACCGAAACTAGTTAGGTAATTTTTGTTCTCATATTAAAAATTCATGCAATACCATTATATTATAACAGAATAACATTATACTCGTAACAGAATTTTTATATAAAAGATGTAGCAGTTTTTACTCTGCACTATTTTTTGCATACTGTGTAAATATAAAGTTGTATTTCTGTGGCAATAAAGCAAAATGTTTTATCTATTCTTTCGGTTACTCTTAGTTAAAAATTATAGAGAATAAAAATAGGTCTAAGTAAACAAAAAGGAGAGCTTACGATAACGTAAATTTAAACTGAAAACAATGTCAAACTTTTTCGCTTTTAATGGGAATATTAGCCAATACCAAATTATTGGAACATTTTCATATATTTTCCGTATGTAGAGGCTTAGTAGACCAATATTACGCTATTTTATCATGTGGACTTATTTCATGCCCTTCATCTTTTATTTAAGTTTATCGTTTCTTGTTATGACTTTGTTTCTGTTTTTCGTATTATTTCATAATATTATACAAATATTGTATATTATGACAACAGACAGAACAGAAAATTGAACATCAGGCAAAATACCCTTATATATACATACATATATATGCATACACTCATATCTAAAATATTATACAAAAACTTAAAATAAAATAATTTATTGAACTCGCACGACACAAAAATTATACAGCTTAAAAAATTGAAAATAAAAAAAAAATACGAAAAATAAATAAATTATATAGCTAAAATGGCCATGTAAGGTATTTTGAACTTATCCGAGAATTTGTAGAAAATTTTAATTTAGTTTTTTTTTTTTTGTTATAAAGCTGATATTAATGATATACATAGATATTTAATAATAGGTAATAAAATCTTATTCCCCATACTTGATATTTATTTATAGTTTCGGATTCCAGATGCGCCATGACAAGTAATTTTACACAAATCCACACATGTATGTAAATAGAAATCAAGTGAATTCCAAAATGCAAAGTAATTGCAGTTAATAATTTATATATCAGGTATATTATCTGCTTGTGTATGTGTGCATAAAAATGATTTTTCTTGATTTTGGCTAAGAACCCGTCTAAAACTTAAATTCACTAATTTCAATTTCTTTTTATATCATATTTTTACATTATTATTTTAAATGCGCCTTATCGTAAAATAATACAATATTAAAATTTATAAATGACATCTTGAATAACAATAAATATGAATGTGTTTGTGATTAAAACTAACTATGGAGGGAAAATGACAACTACTATATAATGATAATTAATAATAGTTTGTTTGTTAATAGGATTAAATCCTTGATATATTCCAGATTTGGTTGAGTATATTGTATATGTTGTAGGTGAAGTGTTGATAATTTAAATGTGCAGTCTTTGTTCAACATGCAAATTCTTGTAAATTATTAAAACTTGCTCGCATCTTCCTGAGCACAACGCAACGTTAATTATTTGTATTATTATAATTAACGTTATTATTGCCGTTAATGTCACACCAATATAATATTAATGATCATGGATTGTAATACATTTTTACGTGTAATAAAGTTCTTTTACCTTTTATAGAAACGGTAGTGAAGATATTACGCACTTCAGACTCTTAATTACGTTGTATACTTAAAATATGGTGAAGAAAAGAAAATATAAATAAGATGGAATATTTAAATTATGGCAGGAATGTCCTTCTAAAAAGAATTAAATTAAATATTTTTTTTTTGTTATTAAAATAATGAGATGGAACTAATAATTTAATTTTTTTAACTAAAAATTAAAAACAAAAAAAAAATTAATTGTCATTCGAAGTGTGATTCTTGCAACCGTGAGATACTATTAAATAAATGTCATTCGAATGTCAAAATTTACTATCTCATTGTCATTTGATTTAGTTTCGTCCATTGAAAAATAAGAAGTTACGAACAACACCTGCAAATTGTAAATTTGTTATAAAAGTAGTCACGACTTGACTGCTAGTAAAGTGTTTTTTAGTACGTTAAGAGAAGGGGTTTATTAACGGTACGTTAAGAGAAGGGGTAGGGGTATATCAAATCTATAATATACCCCAATCGATAATATTATTTAGATATTAGCAGATTCCTTTGAGGTTAGAAACTTATATCAAACAAGTTAATGACAAGATATGGTTCGAAATAATTGACAAAATAGTAAAAAAATTTATTTTTGAGTTACAACATATTTATGCCGGTAATAATCTGATCCCGGGTCTATGATTAATTCAATAAATGTTCAAATGACCAATTTGCAATTTAAATCTTTTTGCATTCAATAATTTGGAACTGAGAGCAATTTTTTTTATAGTCGACTTCAATAATACATAAAAGTGAATAGTCTTCAATACTTTTAATGAATCACAAATAATAATTAATAAATATCTTTCTTACGTTAATTTTCCTGTAAACTTCCGGAATATTGCACAGAAAAATTTTGTACTTACACAAACATACATACATAATATACCTCCATGCAAACGGCCATAATCATTTAAAAAAATGAAATCTTGAATTTTTTTATTATTGTTTTTTTTTGTGTTTTATGATAAATAAATTTGATGATGGATTGAGAAGAACATGCTTGCATCACATATTATTCATCATACACGTACACCTAGTTGATTCTAAAATAACTTTCAACGTTCATTCAACTTTATTTTGAGTTTGCGTTTAAGATTGTTATTTTTATATTTTATTTTCGATTTAAAATTTCTTATTGTCCTCGAAATGTCATAAAAATTATTACATACATTTGTACATAAAAGTAACAAACATGAAAATTATATTTTTGTATAACGTATACAAAGAATATTTTTATTGTAAATTGTCATTTTTGCTAAAAAACTATAAATCTTGTGCTTAAAATATAAGTATATTTCGTATATTTAAAAAAATGAAATGAATCATAAATACCAAGTTACGAAATTCTATAATTTTGAATTTTCAAAGAATTTGTTAGAATAAGAAGCTTTTTTTGGTTGCCATATTAGACTGAAATGTCAAAAAATATAAGAATTCTATTACAATATGGGGCTTATAAAAATAATTCTTTCTGAAGAGATAGGGGTGAAAATAATAAATTCACGCTCAACAAAAATAGTGAAAACATCCCTGACAATGAATAATATTTGAAACTCTGCAGTGACGCCGGAGTAAAGCTCATTTTTGACATACACTAATTGACATTTAATTCAATTTGTATCACATGTCCTCCTATTCATATCCGTTCTTGAAAACCAAACTAAGCCTGTGAAATTCGTTGGCATCCATTGGAGAATATACTGAAATGTCACAATTGATGGTCAAGCGTGGCAAAACCGTTACACTTATATATCTAATTTTTGTCGACTCTGATAAAAATTAGCGAGCAATCTAAGCCCAACGTGCAATGTGATTTATGTTATAATTCTAATTGAACCTGTTACGCATATAATTTCAAAGTTTTTCAGTTTAAAACAGTAGGATTGCTATCTAACATTACAGAGGATATATGACATAAACACACAATCATTCACTCTATCCTATTGGCTGAAGTAGCAGGGTCTTGACGTATCGGGCTAATTTTAAAGGGCAGTTTTTTTCTTAAAACAATACAACTATGTACGTCAAAAAACTGTCACATATTCAACAAGTGCAAGAGTTGCCAACTATATTTACATTATTTGTTGTGAGTTCTCTATAATCAAATTTCTCTAACAGTCGAAATATGTCGCTCTTACTTGTACTTTTGACGTTTATAAGGCATCGTCATTAAGTACTTTACTCATTTATGTATAATTTTTAGGGCAATAAAATTTGAATAACAATTTTGACTTGTAAATTAATTGGGTTCGATAATGAACTTTTAAACTATACTAAATCGCTTAGAATGACTCAAGCATAAAAGTTCGAAATAAAAACAAAAACAAAATTTATTATGAAACGTTTACTTAATTTGTTTTTTTCATAAAAAGAAAAAAAAAATAGAAAAATAAAGAAAATTACACAAAAAAAATTAAAAACTAAAAAAAGAGCAATAAAAAGTGCGAGAATAAAAAGCTTTCAAAATAAAAGTTGTAAAAAATTTTGTTGCTGTCATCTTTTTTTTTTATGTCTGAACGCACGCGTACGTTTTATCATCGTCGTACTACTTATTCCCTGCTATTAAAAATAATTTTCTTTTTAACTATAAAAAAAAAAACTGACTGACAAAAATAATAATAAAAAATGAAGCAACAAAATTAATAAGAAAAACAAAACGAGTAAAAAATATTTTCTGAAACGAAAATATCTATCAGAACCATGACCTGGCGCAACATTCAAGGTCGTTTAGTATTTAACTTAAAAAAACAAAAAAATACATACATACACATACAAACACATAAAGTGTTCTGTATTTTTCTTTTTTGTTTGTTCGTTTTTTATAATTTGTGCCTTTTTGTTTTGCTGTTTTTTTTTTTTTGATAATTTTCTCGCCATAATGTACAAAATGATATTATTATGATGACGATTGACGACGACGGCGACGGTGACGGCGACAACGAAGATGGCTTGCTTAAACGTTTGTCATTTATGCAAATAAATGTGCGAATTATTGGTGTTAAATGAACCTACGACACAA